CCCGCGGCCTCCGCGCCACGTGCCCGCCTCCATTCATCCTTCCCTGCCGCAGCCCTCCGTCCTTCTCAGCCCTCGTCCGTCCGCCTCCGTCCTGCCCTGCCCCAGTGTCCTGCTGCCCTCCGTGCCTGAAACTGCTCTTGGAGGCCGGAGCTCTGCCCGCTCGGTGCTGCCCCCGCGGGTTATCTCTCCACGAACACCCCCTTCCCCGTGTTTTCCTGCCGTGGCACCTGCTCTTTCCCGCTCGCTCTTTTAGCTGCACCTGCTCTCCAGTCCTGTCCTGTGCATTTCTCTTCAAGGGTAAGTAGTAGCAAGGAGCCCCAGTGTGAGCCCAACAGGCTCGGTGGAGACGATTCCCTCATCCTCTCCCTGTATCAGCCAGCGTGCTGGAAAGCTGTAATCCAGCACCCTCTAGGCCCAAGGTCACCAGCCTGGCGGTGTTATCAGGCTGTGCTGTGCCACTGGTGCTTGTCCCTCTGGCAGTGTGTGTGCTGTTTTTTCTCAGCTCCACAAATGCCTCCTGCAAAAGGGCAAACAGCCCTGTTCTCTGCCATGTAGCCTGCCCTGGCTCACTTCTTGTTCTGACATGACAGGCACAGTGCAAGCTGTCAGAAACACCACGTGGTAAAGAAACAGGGAAGTTTTCTGTGCTACATTTATAAAAATAGGGTAATTCCTCGCAGGCACCCTGTGTGCAAGAGAACCCACAGCCCAAAGTGTCAGGTCTGACAATGGTGGGTCCCAATATGGAGAAATTCTGCCCAGGACTAGAAGTTGTGCGATTGTGTAATGGATATGTTGCATGTGACAGATGTTTGGGCACTGAGGTTGCTGGTGTGGATCCTGCTGATGAGCCGAAGAGGTACTGGTATGAGGGCACATGTCTGATTTTCCTCCCCCTCTTGTTTACAAAACAAATCTAGAAAATGGGCACCAAAAAAGCCTATATTAAATGATGCTGAAGCAGTCAGGAGTTGCAAAACACCAGAGTCCAAGTTCCTCGTCCACAGCCCTGCTTGGCTGCCTGTTGCATGGGCCTTAGGATGGAGTCCATAATTACAGGATTATATTGCATTATGGTATTTATATATTATATATTCCTCAAGAGATTGTCTCAGTGCTTGAGAATGATGGATCTTAGAGGAGGAGACTGATCTGGGTAAGGAAATGAACAGGTTTATTAGTGCAGGAACTGGAAAACACACTGAATGGCACTGGCAGAGGAGCAAGCAGAGGAAGGGTGGTCTCTTGGAGTGGCAAGATCAATGGCTCTTGATGTATATTCTGAGAGGATCACTTAAGATCAGATTTTTGTAGGTAGTTGCTCACTAATTCAGTGTCCCTGCCTTGAGCCACTGGAGTTCTGGCAGGAATATGTGCTGAAGTAAGCAGGAGCTGTCCTTTGAGCATGTGCTGCAGGACAGGCACATGCTGTGGTAAACATCACCTTTGGGTGTTTCAGTGAGGCATCTAAACTTAATGGATGTTTTTGACCCAGTCCTTGGCTAATGTCTCTCCTTCATCTCATACAGAGACTGAGAAAATAAATGAAGGTTTATAGAATGTTCATATTCTATAGGGATAACAAAACAGTCTACAGGTAAATGAGTAATGCAACTGTCAGGACAGGATCTGTCTGTCATGCAATAAGTAGTGCCTCGGGCAACAGGCTGCACTAGGAATGTGAAAATAAACACCAAGTACCTGGTCAGCATATATGCTGAGCACTGAGCAGGACAGCAGTGCCCTGGTATGAGGAGACATCATTGTAACTCACGTGCAGAACATGAGTAAACTAAGGGCACAACTGCAAGTTTACAGAGCACGTTCTGCCAGTGCGTGAAATAAATGTTCTCGTAAAGGAGTGGTGGTTCAGCCCATGAGTTGATATGTTAATGCTCTCTGGTTGCCTCATACATTTCTAATGATACCAGGAAGGAAAGAGGGACTTGCTGCTCTTTGCCTGTTCCTGCTGCTCTGTGCTGTAGTTGTTGCTTGGTTTGCAATTGTGGTTGTTACCCTCGAGGTGGCTACTGCAAGCCTCTGCCTGGGGAGATCCTCTGTTTCCATAGGGAGTGGGCAGCTTTCTCCCCATGGGTCTGATTGAACTTGTTTTTCCACATCTGGAAGCAGCCATTGCTGTGCAGGGTATCAGTGTCACTGCTGCCAGGCTGTCAGCAGATAGGCAGGTTAGCTGAGTGTCCTAGAGATGGAGAGGTCAAAGGATCCAGTTGGTCAGTGACAAAACGTTTAGGGGGACAGATCCAGTGTCTATTCTTTGCCATCCTTCCTTACACCCAGGCATGGGCACAACCTGTGAACTCTGTGTAGGGAGCTCGTGATTTCAGAGATGCCTGACCTGTACATATGGGGATGGGTTCACAAACCCACCTCTAAAATTTGGAAGCACCAAGGCTCAAAGCTTATCTTTTATAAATGAAATCTCAGATTTTCTTATAATAATTCTTCATGGACAAGTCAGACAGTAATGGCTTCAGGTTTAGGCAATGTAATGGAAATAAGTAATGTGGATATTTTACAGCCCTGGTGTAGGGATTATTTCAGGTTTATCTTTATGCAGATTATTAAACTCTTGATTTTTGTAACTTGATGTGCCAGGCCCAAAGTGATTTGGGCTTGCACACACTTTTCTAAGCTGATGCAACAGACAAACAGGGCTAACTTCTGAGAACAGAAGGTGAAAGGATTAACTTTTTCATAGCTCTTTGTCACTTGTGATACTCAAATTATAAATGTATCTTTGCAAACTGTACATTTTCAAAGTAAATGCATTCACCATCTGAAAGATTGCAGAATAGCTGTGTTTTATGAATGATAAAGGATTACATTCTTGATGTAATTATTTGATTACATCATATCTCCCCACATCTTTATTGTTATTAACTAATAGCATTGTAACAGTAAGTTTATGAACTTTGTCTTCAGCAATTACTAATTTTTAACCTGAGTTCAGTTGATGGAAGCTGATGGGAAGGAACTGGTTTTATTAGGTTAATTTACAGAGAGAGTTTTTATTATTGGCTGACATATGTGTCTATGCATTTTCTTAGCAAGATGAAATTATTTCTTAAACAAAACCTTTCTATTTTGATCTTGACAGGAGAAATAATTGCCTTTTGAAATGTGCAGTTATTGGCATGCTGGATGAGGAATAAAACCATGTGAGAACTTGTCAAATAGTAATCACAAATGTTTTCTAAAATGGCTTGAGGGTCAGCATTCAAGTAAATTATTTGCAAGTTCATTTTGGCATCATTCAAGTGGGTCAAATAAATTACTCACCTTTTTCACCATTAGACTAAATAGCTTATTCATATCTCCAGTATCCAGTGGCTAACCTTGCTACTTGTGAAACTCTCACTCCTGAGTCCAAGCTGCACATGAGTTGTTAAATTAGGTAGGTGGATAATGCTTTAAACTTCAGCTAAAGATTCCTTTAATTGGGCTAAACATGACTGTGATCACACTGCGTGATTTAGATGTGAGCCAGGGTTGGTTCTCAACAATCATTTGATGTTTCTACTCACTTACAATATTTCTGTCCTTGTGTATCATATTTTCCGATACGGCTATTGCTTTGAGATTGAGTAAGCATCTGAATATGTAAAGCATATTGCCTCCTTTACCCCCCTCCAATCCATGGCACCACTTCTGGTTTCACTTATTTAATATTTCCCTCATGAGATATAAAGGTCAAATGTTTCACCTAATTGTCGAAGTGAATAAAAACTTCCAGGTAGCAGAGAGAGAGAAGCATATAGAGGAAACAAAGAGCAGCTGGGATTTTCTTACAGGTTTTTACACCCATTACAGGGCTTACCCACCAGTTTGACAGCTGCTTGTGTGTGTTGCACATGTTATGTATTTATACATTATTTGTAATGAATGTTTTAGGTTGAATGAGATGCCTTGCTTTTTCAAGAGTTTGGCATAAGCAGGTTGTGGAGTTTATTGAAGATTAAGACATGAGCAGAAAGAAGCATGTGGTAGTTTTTCTTAAAATAATGTTCAATTTGTCACAAAATTCTCTCCAAGCAGAGAAGTTTTGGGGAGATTATTCTGATTTGGTAAAGATTTAGGGTAGAGATAACAGGATTTTATAGTTCACATCCATCCTATGTGGCATGGGAATTACAGGTGCATAGCATTTATTTGCTCAATAGCTTTACCACTTAGTAAACTCACTCATCTGAGGCGACTGCCAATAAAGCACTTTTTGGTGTAATGCTGTTGGCTTATTGATACTGGGTATCAGCTTCTGAAGGTTTAGATTCAAACCATGTTAAGTGTCTGTGGCAAAGGCCTTGCAAAAGCAGAATTTGGAGTTGGAGCATGGGCAGGGCTTAATCACATTCAGCGTCCGACAGGCTGTGCTAAACCCTGTCCCTTGTGTTTTCAGAGGCTGCACAGTGGAGTTCTCAGAGATCTGGAGCGTCAGAATCAGAAGAAGGAGAATATTCGCCTGCTAGAAGAGCAGATCGCTTTGACAAAGCAGCTTATGGAAGAAAGAGACAAGATACTTATGGAAAAAGATTCCCAGCAGTCCTAGGCACAGGCCTGGGTCCTTAGAGGTTTGATTAAAGATGTTTGGAGATCATTTGTATCTAACTACTTGCAAGTGTTTTAGCAAACAGAGGTAATCTATGAAAGACTGTTTATTTTGTATAGGTCATAATTCAGTCCCTAAAGCTATAGGGCAGGCAAAAAACATTTCCTTTGTCATTGGCACTTTGGCTGTGGAGACTTGGCTGGCACAGCTAGCGTGGATGGACTTGTCAACCTGGGGAGGAACAGCTCTTTGTTACGTAAACTCCATCTAGGATGGCTAATAATGTTCACATGAGTGGGCTGCTCAGCCGCCATGATGATGAAGCCACCAGAACCTCCACCTCAGAGGGCCTGGAGGAGGGTGAGGTGGAAGGGGAGACTCTCCTGATTGTCGAGTCTGAGGACCAGGCCTCAGTGGATTTATCGCATGACCAGAGTGGGGACTCTCTGAACAGTGATGAAGGTGATGCATCCTGGATGGAGGAGATGTCCTATTACTGCGAGAAGTGCCAGAAGTGGATCCCAGCAAGTAAGCTTGCCAGTTGTGTTGTGTCTTGCTTGCTGCTTTAATTAGCAGAGAACAAGGGTATGGCTTCAGGAACATGCACACCCTCCTGAGTGTTGTGGCTGTTTGGGAGACTTTGGCAAAGCAACTTGGCCTCTCTGCTCACCCAGATAAAGATAATGACCCTTGCTGTAATGCTCTGTGGAGGAAAAGGACTTTGTGATGGTGGTACTTTTGTGGGGATTTTTTCCTGTTCAGTTTGTCACATCTGTGGAGCATATGGCTAAATCTCCACCTTAATGGTTTCCCAGTAATGTGAATGTAAGTTGGCTGTCAGAGAAGCATGTCCAGCCTGGAGCAGCTAGCTCTGGGTGGCATGTGGAGCAAGCTATGGAACTTGATCCCTCTGCTCTGCCGCTTGACATAAGATATATGCCATTAGCAGTGTAACGGACTAGACTTTACTTTCTAACTTCTGGATTATCAGAGCTATTATTAGATCCAAAAGCTAGATGCTGCTAAGATCTAGTTGTCTTGGGATTTGATGCGGGCTTTTGTGGTTTGGTTTGATTTTGGGGGTTTGTGCGTTGTTTTGTTTGTGACTAGAAATAGTGAGCTCTTCAGGTGGCACCTGCCTTGTCTGAGCTGCCTGTTTTGCCATCTTAAAATTGGCCAAAAGTTACAGTGTAGAAATTTCCTCTCAAGGTGTGTCAATGAGTGTTTAGATGTTAATGTAATGGGACCAGCATGGTACTATTAAGTTAGTATGCAGGAAAGAGAAATGTTAACTTGAAATCTATCAGTAAAAAAAAAGAAGCAGAGTTAAAGGTAGCATGAGTTATCTCATCTTGGAGCTCTTGATTTAACAGTCCATTTGTTTTATTTTACAAAGATGTTCCACTCTCTAGTTGCTGTGGAACCAATCCAAAGAGCAGAAAAAGCCAATTGTAGAGTAACAGTAACTAGATACAAATGTGCAAAGTAAACAAGCTGGAAAAGGGAAATACTGTTCTCTTTGCTAATCGCTCAGTTATACGGAGATCAGTTGTCACTTGTGAAAATGGCCAACATGCTCAGACAAATAATCACTTTTTACAATTGAATTGCTAGGTAGAAATGTTAAGTCTACTAAGCATTGGGGTTTTTTCCCCTCCTTCAGACATGGGTGCAACTTCAATAGTTAAATTCTGTAATTCACTACAGAAGCAGTGCATCCATATTAAAAAAATGCTTGATCTGGTGTCATTATACAGTAAAAGAGATGTCATACTTGGAGAGAAGTACCTCGTGTGTGTGTGAGTTTTCAGAAACTCTGTAGTCTTAATTGTTTCCCTGTCTCAGGGTGTCATTTTTCAGTTTTTCATACTTGTGTAAATTAACTCCTGGTGAGTTTAGCAGCCCTGATTCATATGATTAATTGTTTCTTCTTTGCTGCAGAGGCATAGAACTAGAGTCTGTAACTTTGAGTGCTTTGGGTTTTACTGGTAGCTCTGTCCCAGCAGATCACTTTCATTCAGGTAAACTTTTATGCAGGGTTAGCTTTACAGAGCAAAGAGTATGCTGAAGTGCTTTGTTGATTTGGGATCTGATGCATCAGCTGCAGTAAAGACAAAGTGTTTCCTGATAAAGCTGGACTGTTCTTTTGGCTCTCAGTCTCAAGGAAAGAAGATCTTCCTCTAATAGGAGAAATAAATACCTTAAAGCTTCATACCATGCCTGCTGCAGTGCATCCTGGAGGTTGCTGGAAATAGGGACTGCAACCTGACTTCAGTATCAGTTTGTGGACAGGGAAAAAGAGCGCTGTAAAGGCAGGCAGCAGTGAGGGGAAAGATGACATGGAAGAGAACACCGTATGTACAGATAGCCTCTGCAGTAGCATTCCTTTTTTAACAAGTCAGCTTTTTTTATATTGCTTTTTCTTTTTCTTGAGTAGGGTGGCAAAACAGCTACTTATTGAAGTCTATAGGTTATACTGAGGAAGCAAGGAGGAACGAGAAAGGCTGCAGAAACAAGGAAATCCTTGGCTTTGTACCTGCATTCAAATGTTAGGTAGAAAGCCCTTTTTTGGTGCCTGTGCTTTTTCAGCTGGTCACTGCTGGCTGCTGCAACTGTGAAGTGAATCTGCACCTTCCATGACCACAAGGTCTGATGTTTCTTGGGAGCTGCCTGCATCTTTGGACTCTGGGGAGAAGGCAAAAAAGTCCTTTTCTGCCTCATGTTGGAGGAAACTCATATTTCTTTTTTCTGATAAAAGGACCAAGAAATCGATTTTTGCCTTTTAATTTTAGGTCAACTGAGAGAACAGCTCAGCTACCTCAAAGGAGATAACTTTTTCAGATTTACTTGCTCCGACTGCTCAGAAGATGGGAAGGAGCAATTTGAACGTCTGAGATTAACATGGCAACAAGTAAGTAAAATGTTTGTGCCAGCAGAACAACCGCAGGACTTTCTAAAATTGTTGTTTATTGTGTATATGCTACCTAGAAAAGGAGGATCAGGTATCAGTAACACAGAAGCATATGCATGAACTTCAGAAATTAATTAGCTACGGATTGCCTGCATAAGAGAACTTGAGCATTTGGCAGGTACATTGCAAGATAATTATAGGAACCACTTTCCTTTTTTTTTAATCTTTTCACTTCCTCTTATGTTGCTCATGAAGTTATGGCTTCAGGCAGGTTTGAAAAAGCAAAATGAATGCAATTTTGCTGCTAGGCATGAAGATTTTTTTTGTATATAAGAAAATGTAAAATTAGTGAGGTGGCAACATAGAAACAGAAAGCTTGCCAGCTCTCTAAATACAAACCTCCAACCTGACTGCATATTCATTAGCAACGGTCCTTGCTGGAATTCGCAATTTCAACCACTTGCACACCTGAGCAATCCAAACAATCTGCATTATTTGGCAACAACCAGGTACTAGACAGATGCACGTGGCGTTGCTGTAAGCAGGGCACTGGAGGGGCAGGCGGGCAGTGTCTGCTGCCTCTGCTCAAAATGACACTGATCTGGCAGTAGCTGTTGCTCAGCAGTAAGTGTTTCCACATGCTGAGCATCAGGCAGTATGTGAGACTTCTGTTTGCATCCTTGGGGACAGCAATGGTGTGTTGTCTCAGATAATTTGAAACATCACTCGTAACTCCTACAGTGCTTTCTGGCAGTGGCCAGTGCAGGGGAAAATGTTAATGTTAGCACTCTGTGTCTGGCAGAGTTTCAGCTAGTGCCAGATTTGGAGAGCAAAAGCTGCTAACATTGGTCCCCAGGTTTCTTTGGAATGACATGGGGAATGGACAGACAAAATAAGTGGGCGAGGCAGGAAGCTGACTAGTGAAGATAGTACCTCCCTAGGCTTCCAGCAGCCAGAGCTGCTGCTCCTTTTGGGTAAGTTGAATGGAGGGGAGTGGTCAAATTAACCTATCTGAAGTAGGAAAAATTGGGACAGTGATTTTTGGATTTTTTCAGGTTGTGTGGTTTCAACAGATCCATATCTTCAGCCCACTGAAGAGGGAATTGTTTTTGAAATTCTGAGACACTGTCCCACATGACTTAACCATTTATCTAGGAATGGGGGGAAGGATCAAACTAAAAGGGATTGTGAGGCAGTAGGGTATGGGGGACATTAAAGCTGTCCATATTTCCTCATTTTCATCATCTGCAGCAATGTGTCCCAGAAAGCTAAGGCCCCGCATGTCCCTAAGAAAAACACATTTCAGACTTCTCTGAGTGATGTGTGTCCCTAACTGGAAGTAGTGCCCAACTGAGGCTGTCTGATTGTTGAAAGATGATCCCAGCCCAGCTGATTCTAGTTGTATTCTAATGAATTAAGTAAATGTAATTACCAGTTGGTCACCTGGGATTTACTTACAAGGAGGTGTGATATTTTTCAAATCTGCTCTCTAGTTTAGGTGTGCAACAGGTCAGACTGAATTTGGTTGTGAAGTATGTGAATGAGCTGTAAATGGCTTCTGTTTAATGAAGATCACTTGGAGACAAACTTGATTCCTGCATACCCAGAACAATTACTAGATATGTAATTTTACAGAGTTAACAGTCTGTTCAATTTGAAGTGCAGTACTAAATGTCTAGGAGGACCATTGTCTCCATGTTTCTGATGTATTAGATAGTGGGATTACCGATGACCATTTTTTTAGACTCTCTTCTTATCTTCACACTCTATTCGGCCCCCGGTTGTACTTTAATTCATTTATACAACAGTTGCAAAATTTTTGTGTCTCAGCATAAACCTGCATAACTAGGCAGCTTGTTATTCCCTTGAGATGGAGAAATCTCTGGGAGAATGTGCATCTAACAATAGAAAGACCAGAACAGACAGTATGAAACCAGGAAGAAGATGGATTGCAGAAGTTTCCTATGAGATGTTGCAAAAATAAGATATTTATGAGGGAGCAAACATTAGTGTGTGTGTGTGTGTGTGTGTGTGTGGCAGCTGTGGGAGGCAGTCAGCAGACAAAGCAGAAGGGATTCATTTGTATCCAAAACTTTCTGTTTCAGGTTGTCATGTTGGCGATGTACAATTTGTCTCTGGAGGGAACGGGCCGTCAGGGGTACTTCAGATGGAAAGAAGATATTTGTGCTTTTATTGCAAAACACTGGACTTTCTTATTAGGGAACAGGTAAAGATGTGATGTTTCCCTGAGGGTCTAGTTGGTGAGCCAAAGGAATTGAAATCTGTTGTAGAGATGAGCAAGAATCCTGGTTAATTCGGCAACATTTCTGTTGAGCCTCACTAGTGAGAAAATTGGAGGTTTCAATTTTGAGAGTCTGAATATAGGCATGAGAATAAGCTTTTCTTACTGGGGAAAAACAGCCCCAAGAATGTCACACAAAATCAACATAAATGCATGTATTTTGGATTATTTCTTATCTTCCTTTAGGGTCTTCCTTTTGAGTCTTTCTAAATAGTCACAACAGATGGGCTAGTCCTGGTATCACTGGGATTTAAGGACAAAACTGGTCCAGCAAAGTACCACATTGCCTGGCTATAAAGCTTGCATGGGTTTAGTTCTTCAGAAAGAACTGACCCTCAGCTTTTAGATTGTTTTGGGTCTGAATAAAATGGCTTTTACATAGCAAGTGTTACAAACCACTAAAATGTTTTTCAGTGTGTGTAAAGTAGCTGTCAGAGTAAGAATCCCTCTCATTAAGGGCAGCCTTCACTTTATAGGTGAACAGCACATAGCATGTGCTACGGAGGCAGGAAAGGAACTGAGCAGGCCTTGACAGTTGTAGATTTATTGACTTCACAGCTTAGCTTCTTCCCCAGGGATTTCTCTGTTGTAAGATCCGCCCTTTCTCCCTAACCAGATTTGCTCTTTGGCTTTGCTTTCATTGTTTGTCTGTGCCTTCTTGCTCTGTTCTCAGAAACGTTAGTATTTGCCCTCACTGGAAAGCACAGGCACCCTGACAGGAAGGCAGCTGATGGCCCATTGTCCCTCACTCAGGGAGCCATTGCCTCCCAGGGTTTGCTGCTGCCTTTTGAGACCTGCCCTAGGAACTGGGCACTGTTTGCTCTGATTAAAATTCAGATGAGTGATTAATGGCCTCAGACTCTCCCCACTTGCCTGGACAAGCCACTGGTGGAACAGACACAGCCGAACCGTATGTGTAGCAGTCCAAGGTGTGCAATGCTTTGCCTCCTTGGCATATTAAAGTACAGCTTATCCAGATTTATTGTAACACTCCAGACTTTGAGCTGGGGCACCTGAGTTTAATCCCCCACTTTTGAGGCTCAGTACCCCAAGGTGTGTATGTGCAACACTTGGACAGCAGCAGATACCTGCCCAGCCAAGCCTAGCCCAAGTGCAGAAGTTTTTGCCAGTGGAGATGTGCAAAGGCAAGAAGGAATCCTGAGATCCTGTACAACTATGGCCTTAGACTCTGCACTGTCAACATAGTTGTCCAGTGTCCAAGGGAGTACCTCAGTTATTTGCTACATATTATTTCTTCTCACTTCTTCCCTGAGTGATATCTTAGTCCTGTGAATTAAAGGAATGAAAAGTGCTCAGTTGTCCAGTAGAGTACACTGCCCAGCAGAGTAAAAGGCTTAAATGCAGCTCCCTGCCTCCAAGTAGCCAAAAATGTGCTTCAGAAGTGGTTCAGTGTGTGTGTGTCAGTGCCAGTGGCAGAAGCACTCTGCCCTTTCCATCTTGGAGGAGGCTCCAGGGTGAAAGCACAGCTGGCGAGTGGGGCCCTGACACTTGTTTTCCTCTCTCCCACCACAGGAAAAAGACCTCGACATGGTGGAGCACAGTCGCTGGCTGTCTCTCTGTGGGGAGCCCCTTGTTTTTCCGCTCAGGGGCACAGGAATTTGGAGAACCAGGATGGTGGAAACTGGTTCATAACAAACCCCCAATAATGAAACCCGAAGGAGAGAAGCTGTCTGCATCTGCACTAAAGGCAAAAGGTACATCTGTTCCCAGTGGTGTATAGGTTCCTAGCTGGGCCAGAGTTGGAAGTCATGAGAAAAGTTTAGTTAAAACCATGTGTTTGTGCGTAAGGACAGTTTCTTACTTTTGTTCTGCTGTAATGGTTGACTTAAGAGAACTGTGGTGCATATACTGTAGTGTGAGAAGCCTGTTATATTTCATTACCTTTTTGCTAACTGATTCAAAGGCTTTTGAGATCTGTTCAGGGAATTTTGGGTTGGGTTGTTGTTTGTTTTTAGTTGAAATCCACAATTTCTCCACTCCTGTTTACCCTGGGGAATGTCTTTTATCTTTTGTCACTAAATGCAAATTCTCCTCTGTGCTGAGGAACAAGATTGGGGCTTTAATGAGGCTTTAGTTGTGCATTGGCTTAATGCTGCATTTCTTGTACATATTGAAAATGCATCTTTTAAGATTTGTAGTCAGTGTGTTTTTCTGACCATGTAGTATGTATCCAGTGACTGCAGGAGCTCAGTTAGATCTGTTAGAAAAAGCAAACTACTTCTTTAGCAGCTTCAAAGCCACCTCTGGATCCCATCATTACTGTGGAAGGACTCAGGAAGCGAGTAAGCCGCAATCCAGTCGAGTCAGCCATGGAACTGAAGGAGAAGAGATCGCGCACTCAGGAAGCCAAGGATATTCGGAGAGCCCAGAAAGAGGCAGCTGGATTCCTGGACCGGAGTACTTCCTCCACTCCTGTTAAATTCAGCAGTCGAGGCCGTCGTCCTGATATTGTACTTGAGAAAGGAGAAGTGATTGACTTTTCCTCCTTGAGCTCGTCAGATCGCACACCCCTGACAAGCCCTTCCCCTTCTCCATCTCTCGACTTCTCTGCTCCTGGCACTCCAGCCTCACATTCAGCTACTCCCAGCCTTCTCTCAGAAGCAGATCTCATCCCAGATGTCATGCCACCACAGGCCCTGTTTCACGGTAAGACTGTTCTGCCAATTGACAGGGACAACAGAAATGACACAGACACCAAGAAAAAGAATAGGCTTATTTTACTCTTGGTGTTTAAAACAAGCAGGAAAATTAATAATACTTTTACATATAGGGCTAGTTTACTAAGCTTTAGTACAAACAACAACAAAGACAATAAGCAAGGTAATGCACCTAATCATTACTACCCACAGGAAAGAATAGTGATTAAGAAAGATACATCACCAATTGCCCTAATACTTTATCACCATCCAGATCCACAGTCACTGGGGAGCCCCTGGTTGCGGTGAGGATTTGGAGAGCCTTTCCCAGCAATTGGGAAGTCCTACGCAGTGCATGCACTCGTAGGTGAGGCATCCAAAGTCACTCAAAGACAGTCCAGCTTTTATGGGCAAAATCAGTAGGCTAAGAAATCACCTGTATTTGTTTCGGTTTGATGTGGAAAACCCCTGGTGGTATTCCCCTCTGACCAACTAAGCCCGGGGCTTGGCCATAGCCCAGGACACGGTGGAGTTTCCTAAAGTATTCTGCAGGTAGCTGCATGGCATTGGTGCCTCCTTGGCACAAGACCATGTGAAAGTTATCAGTCCAAATTTCCCAAAATATTACAAGCAGCCTCATGGCCTTGGAGCTTCTTTTGTGCAAGACACACCATGGTTTTTATTTAATAATGAGCCACATGTATTCTAGGAAGCTGTTAAAAAAAGAAGCTCCCAATTTGCTACAGGATCTTTTCAAGATAAGATGGAAAGTAACTGGTAATATTACATTTATCTTGATTGAGTGTGAGTCTTGATTTGTTTTCCATAGTTGTATCACCACCTTATAAGGCCAGAAGAAACCCCCATTATTGTGTTCTAAGGGATCCTGAATAAATATTAGGTAGACTTCTCATAGCAACTGCTGCACCACTCAGCATAAGCATTTCACTGCAACACAGATTACACTGTTGGATAGCAATTGTAGCTTCTTAAGGAGCCAGACCAAAGCACTTCTGTATGGCTGAAAGACTAGTCAGGCTCTGTAGAGGGACAGAACTTCTCCAGGGTATGCTAGCTGAAGATAAGAGCTCACTGGCTTGACCATTTGATCCCCAATCTTCAGGAATTTTCAACAACTTAACGTTTGTCAAAGAGCATGAGCTTGGAGCTTAGGAGAGCTGTTTTCAGATGCCAAACTGTAAGACATCTCAGGATTGATTCTGTGTCCTGAGATTGGACTCTTATAGTGTCTTCTGTCCAAAATCAAGAGATCCAGAAGTATATAGAAAATGAAATGTGTTGGGTAAACCTACGTTATTTAACCTACGTTATTTTTCCTTAGCAGAAAAGTCTTGTGACAACTTTGAAATGGGGTTTTGATGTTTAAATTTATTTAAATTTATTTGGATTATTTTGATCTGTTCAACAGATGATGAGGAGATGGAAGGAGACGGAGTCATAGACCCAGGAATAGAGTATGTGCCCCCTCCCAGTGGGACAGCCAGTGCTGGCACTATGATAGCAGGTAGAAAAAAAGTGAAGACAGCTGAGCAGATCAAGCAAGAGGTGGAGAGTGAAGAAGAGAAAACAGAACGGATGGAAGGTGACAGTGAAGATCCTGAAGAGTCAAATACATCCCTGCAGGTGAGGGGACGAGACAAGAGGAAGCCACACCTGGAGAAGGACGCTAAACCCAGAGCTCCCAAGCATACCTCTGTTAGTATCTATGAGGAAAAGCTGCTGCTGAAAAGACTGGAAGCATGTCCCAATGCCATGAGCATGACCCCAGAGGCCCGGAGGCTGAGGCGCAAGCTGATAGTCAGGCAGGCCAAGAAAGAGGACTGCCACTTTTTGACTTGGACCAGGTTGTGAATGCTGCACTGCTTTTGGTTGATGGGATTTATGGAGCCAAAGAAGGAAGTATTTCCAGGTTCCCAACAGGGCAAGCAACATACAGAACTACTAGCCAGGACTTCAGGATCTTAGACAGATACCAGGTGGGTGTTTCCAAATATTAAGTGAGCTTTTGGCACTGGTTATTTTAGAGCTTTTGCTGCAGACAGCAGTGTCACATTGAGGTTATCTGATTCCTAAAATGAAAATTGCGTGAACAAAACTCATTTTGACTTGGGGCTGTGTCCCCACCAATGCTTTTCTAAGCCCCTTTTCTTCTTGGGACGTGCTGGTGCAGCACAGCTGTCTATCAAATGCAGCACCAAATGTTGATGCATTTGTACTCCAGTCCTGCCCAAACACTGATGGTGGAGTACCGAACAGGCAGATGCTCTTTCATGCATGTAGATGACTTGCAGCACTTTCCTGAGTGATGAGTCCAGCTCGTAGGTTTGGGTGCTGCATCTGAGAGTGCTCAGCAAAGTCCAATGGGACCATCATGGTATTGCCCATTCTGTCACTTTAAAAGGCTGTTATTCTCCTTCCACTGAGATAATTCCCTTGTGTTAAATCATTGGCTAACCTTCCTGAAATATTCTGCATTTTTTGTACATATAGACAGTGCTGCCTGCCATGAAGGGATATCGACAGCAGATAACGAAGTTTCTGTATCGACTCGTGGGCTCAGAAGATCTGCTCACAGACCACAGTATTGTCAGCCCTTACACGTCCCGTGTCTTGAAACCTTATATCAGGTACAGATGGTCAGAGGTTGAGTTTGCTCTTGGCTTGTGCACTGACAGCCCATGGAGAGGACACCTTTTTTGGGCAATGCTCAAAGAACCATCCAGTACACTACGGTAACCCTGAAAGAATAGTGTTTTACTTAGCTGAGTGGTTAAACTGACTGCATTGGGACGGAGAATCTCCAAGTGAGGGCAGGGCAGAGAGGGAATTGCTGTAGTTATTCAATGCAAGTTGCATCTGACCATGGGTCAGAACTGATTTCCTTGCTCCTGCTGTAAGGAGAGGTTGGCTGGGCATGCTGCCCATCTGGGAAGTGTCCTGGCCTCTGACACAGGGGTGTTTTTGCTGAGCTAGGTGCTGTTTTGCCAGGTGAGTGGAAGAGTCTGTTTTTTCTTAAGTTGAGCATGTCAGAAAATACCCATTCAGCTGCAGTGGCAGTTATTGGTGCTCAGTGACGTTTTGTGTTTGCTTTTTGTGTTCCTGGCAGGCGTGATTATGAGACAAAGCCCCCAAAGCTCAGGCTGCTGGCAGAAATCCGGGCGTATCCACACAGGAATAATCTCAACTGGAAGGCTGAGCCAGAAGCACCAGTTGATTACTGCTATGTTCGCCCTAATCACATCCCCACTATCAACTCTATGTGCCATGAATTCTTCTGGCCAGGTAAGATTCCTTCAGTGCTTGGTTTTCTAAGAAGGAAGTAGTTTTGTTCAGAAAAAAAACCATTCTTGGGCCAAATTTTTCTTCAGTTGGTGTCTGGCTCAGTTCTTAGAAAATCATTACCTAATGTCACAGGAATGCAGTTGAGATGGAGACATGGGTTTGGTGTCTCTGTCTTTTGAGATCATGTAGAACTGGGCAATTAGGCCCTAATTAGCACAGCATTTACAGAAATAGGTTGTTTTGGGTAACATCATTGATGCCAACAGGAGTCTAGTAGTTTAGTAGTTAAATACACTTAAGCATCCAGTGAAACATTTTGCAGAATCAAGGGCTGAAGTAAACAGTTTTCTACCACCTGTTTACTGTTCATTAGCTTTGTGAGGAATTTCTGTCCTATCAGCCATAAGCTGGTTATGTTGGAGTGCAATTTGGGAAGCCATATGAGGAGTGGCTGAGGTCACTTCAGTTTGTTCAGCCTCAGAAGGGGGGAGTCCTCATCGCAGTCTACAGCTTCCTCATGAAGGGAAGTGGAAGGGCAGGCACCAATCTCTTTGCTCTGGTCACCAGTGACAGGACCCGAGGGAATGGCCTGAAGCTGTGTCAGGGCTGGTTAGGTTGGATATTAGGAAAAGGTTCTTCACTCAGAGGGTGATTGAGCATTTAAACAGGCTTCCCTGTTACGGAAGTGGTTACGGCACCAAGCCTGACAGAGTTCAAGAAGTGGTTGGACAATGCTCTCAGGCACATCGTGTGATTCTTGGGAATGTCCTGTGCAGGGCCAGGAGTTGGACTCGATGATCCTTGTGGGTCCTTTCCAACTCGCGATGTTCTGTGATTCTGTGAATTGCACTTACAAGTGCAGGCTCCGCTGTGATGTCCTTTATTTCGTCAAGTTTCAGGTATAGGAAAGTTTGGGTTTGAATTTTTGTGTGTCATTTCTTGAACTGTAGGCTCTTTGGGGACAGTGGCTGCCCTTCAGGGGGACAGTTACAAGGCTGTAATTTTTTAGTTCTTTTGAAATAATTATAGTGATGTTCATCTACTGCATGGATCAGCTTCTGATCAGCAAACAATGCAGCAGGCTAATTTAGAAGAGCCCAGTACAAACAGTACACACCTTTATTCCAAGTAACTGTTTGCTTTATGCTTTGATTATCAGATAGTGATTCAGCAGGGTTTTGTAGTTCAGCAGTGCTCATATGCTGCAGTCAGGATTGGAGCTCTTTGTGCTACTCATTGTCCAAATTGTACAATTTGTGGGGAATGACCTGGCACACCTTCCCTTTCACAAGCTGTTTTGGAGCTCATGAGAGACACTTGCAATCCCAACAGAGGCTGAACCTCTTTGTCATAGTCTTTCCTCTCCTGATAATGCGTTTGAGGTTCTGGCCAAGTTGGGTCGCACCTTCATTAAGTTCTTCAGGACTCACCCTGTTTTATTTAGCATAAGGAGCGTGGGTGTGTTCCCCCAACTGTGAGCTGTTCATCATTAAATCAGAAACTGACACTCCCATCAGTCTCCAAACAGGAATCAAAATCTCATCCATGGTGAAAAGTTTCTGAGTCTGGTATAGA